TGAGAAAATATGTACTTAGAGAATCAAAAAAAAAAGTTTTTATAAATAAAAACAGTTGGTTGTGGAATAATAATGTACAATAAAATATAAAATATAAGAAGTTATGTTATAAAAATTAGTTTAAATGTAAAAGCTTAAGAAATTAAGAAAAATATAAGTTGGCTTATAGGAAGCTAAAAGAACTATTTGGTATGCTAAGAATTATGTTTTTAATGATCTTTATGATACATTAGATACTAAAGAGGTTAATATATATATATAAGTAAAGATTTAATTTAAGTGTATTAAAGATGAAAAGCAAAAAGAATTTGTCTAGTTGAAGATATTCAATAAACAATATTTTGATAAAATTTTCAATATAATTTATGAAAATACGATCAACTTTAATGATCTTAATATAATTAATTAAATAAATTTTTTTAGTTTATTGTTGCATTAGAAAACAGGAAGTTGATGAGGCTTTAAAGAAAATTAAAGGTGAAAAATCAGTAGGACCATATGATATCCCAATAGAAGTATGAAAATAGTTAGAATATTTGAGAATTTTTAGCTTACGAAACTTTTAATATTATTTTAAAAACTAAAAAGAAGTCCGATGAGTGGAGGATGAGTATTTTGGTCTCCGTTGTTAAGAATAAAGGGGATGCACGTGAGTGAAAGTTATAGAAGAAACGAGTTAATGTGTCAAACATTAAAATTATGAGAGACGGCAATCAAACATAGGTTCAGATGTGATACAAAGATTTCTCATTATCAATTTGAATTTATTTTGGGCAAGTCAACTATGGAAGTTGTACATTTATTGAGAGGTTTTATGGAGAAGTATAGAGAGAGTATGAAGAATCTACATATGATTTTTATTGTTTCAGAAAAAGCTTACAATAAGGTTCCAAGAGAGGCTCTATTGAGAGTTCTAGATAAGAAAGGTGTTAATATGTTGTATATTCAAGTCATTAAAAATATATATACTAAGAGTCGTTACTTGTGTTTTAATAAAAAAAGGATTGACGAAGTATTTTCCTATTTTGGTTGTATTACATCAGTGATCGATTTTAAGCCCATTCTTTTTTATTTAGTTATGGATGCTCTTACTAGACATTTAGAGGAGGGTGTAGCTTGGTGTATGCCTTTTGCTAATAATATTCTTCTTGTGGATATGACTAGAGAAGGATTAAGAAAAACTTCAATTTTGGAGGTTTACTTTAGAGTCTATATGCCTTTGTTTGAGTAGATCTAAAACTGAATACATGGAACATAATTTTAGTAGTATTAGATTTGAGTTGGTGATCAAATCATTAAAATGAGTGAACATTTTAAATATCTCAGGTATTTTGTTAAAAGTGATGATGATATAGATGGTGATGTTATTAGTCGAATTAAATTTGAATGGTTGAAGTGCAATAATGCATCAGACTTATTGTGTAATAGAAAAGTACCGCTTAAACTTAAAGGAAAATTTTATGAGATGGCGGTGAGACCAACAATATTTTATGGCATAGAATTTTGGTCCATAAAAGAGAAGCATAAAGCTGAGTTGAGTGTTGTTGAGATGAGAATACTTGGGTGGATGAGTGGCTTTACACTTAGAGACAAAACGTGAAACGAATATATCCGTGAAAGGCTTGGTGTTGTGCCAGTGGCAAACGAGATTAGAGAGAATCATCTTAGATAGTTTGGTCACATTAAACTTCGACCATCTAATGATCTGGTTAAGAGAATGGATGTCTTAGATTCGACCTATGTTAAGAAGGTAGATGTAGACCTAAAAAAACCTAGGCATGTTATATAAAAATGATCTTGATTTATTAAAATTTAATAAAAATATGACATTCAATAGGACTCAATGGAGAAAAATGATTCAAGTATTCGGCCCCACTTAGTGAGATAAAGGCTTGTTATTGATAGATATCAAGGTAGAGTTCAGTAAATATTTATCATAAAAAATTTCTATTGGAACGTCAAACTTATAAAAATGTTGAAATTCTATTTTCATTACTAAACTACTTATAGATCTAGTATTTCTCAAACTTCTCAATAAAAGAAAATTCACCAAATCTACATATAATAATGAAAGAAAATTTAAAATTTTTAAATTTTACATGTTTATCTCCAATGTTGAACATAATAGAATAATCATCATTCAATGCATCATTAATGTTTAAAATAAAAATATGAAAAATGAAGTCCCACTAAAACTAGTGTTTATCTCCTATGTAACACTAGCAATATAATGCCTCTATGCATTTATACTTAATTATGACCCTTATATAAAACAAAACATATCAAATGAACCAATCACAAAAAAAGTGTATAATCTCTTTTTGAACCAAAGTGTTTGAGGCTCTTGATTGAACCTAGTGTTCGGGTGTCAAAACGTGAAACTTTCACCATTAAAAGGCATGATAAAATGAACTGTTAGCATTTAAGACTCACCTTTCCTGTCAACATTAGAAGGAATCGCATTAGTATTGTTGAAAGCTTTGAGCCACAAAATATTATGACAGAAAGGGCGACTCTCCTGTCAATAGAAGAAGATCGTTTGAATAAAGAATCTGAGCCGTGTTCACACTCAAAATCACGTGAGTGATATTTTCTCTCGTATTTCAACAGGTACCTTGTAGTTTTAGTACAAAAATTACCTTACGAGACATTTATATATGTATGTATATACACACACATATATATATATATATATAAATTTTGGAGTGATGAAACTATACGTTATCTAGGAAAAAGATAACAATGATAATAATCTTCTTTAACTAACGATAATGAATATAGTAAGATTACCATTACATTAACCAATGGAGCAGAAGAACACTAAATAATGAACTATTTTATGTCTCTTCAAAGATAAATGATAGGCAAGCAAACAGGCCTCAGGCCTCAGATAATCACCAACCATAAAACTAGAGCTAACATAAAAGACTTTTGTATTATCAACTGTTGCTCCACTATGCAGAGCTCATCAGCAAACCTATTGTGGATAAAAAAAACTAGGAAGATTTACAAGCATACCATACCACTCAATTCCTGTATATTTACATATCTACACCTAAACTTCAATTTTTCATACAAATCGTATTATTTATGCCCATGTCAACTTACCCATGCATGAAAAGGTCTCACTTTTTAGAGGTCAAAATATAAAAGAAAATTTATGTAATATGAAGATTTTGGTGGTATAATTCAAAAAAGTGAAGTTTAAGTGTGAGATAAGTAAATATAGAATTGGTTAGTATCAATGTATGTCTCAAAATCTATATATATATATATATATACACACACACACACATATTGCCGCTCGCCGTAACTCCTTGGTTATGTAACCTTGCATAAGTCCCCTAGGGTCACGGGCATGCCTTGAAGTGCAGGATCAAATAATTAGGCACATGAAGGCATCTAGGGGCTTTTATCATAGCCTCTAGTTTTTCTTTATATATATATATATATATATATATCAAAGAGATTAAAACAACACACCGTCAAACTGATTATAATTTTCATTTATAGCCTGACATCAATATATTTACAAACCAAACCTAACCATGAAAACAATGAAGAAATTTACAAATAAAGAAAATATTCAGCTCCTTTCCGAAGTGCTGGCGATCCAAAGCAAGAAAAACAGACATTGATTCTCAATAACAAAAATTGTACGCATGGCAAAACAAACCAAATCCAATGCAATCTACTCCACCTTAATTTAACTAAACAAAACCTATTCACATTTGCACTCCATCTTTCATTAGTAACATATTATATTAAGTTAAAACATGTAGATGAAAATTAAATTCAGACTGAATGATGATGTGTGCTTTAGAAAGTGATGCAGAATATAAGGAATTAAGCCTCAACAGCTGTACTTATACCACAAAACATTACGTTTACTAAGTCAAGAAAGAATGTAAATTCCAACTTTCAAGAAATCACATCATATACAACATTTAACAAATATAAGAATAGCAACTCCCATAAATCTTAATATCCTGAACAATTTATCAGAATTTAACAAGATTTAGTAGCTATCAAGCCAAGCAATTTTCATATTATAATCCAATCAAGATACACTAAATCTGGATTTATAGGACTTGTTCCTACTTGAGATAAATTGGGTCAATACTGTTAGACTAATGATAATAACGACAGCATCAAAATTACCCTGAAAAAAAATTCAATCTTAAACATGAATACTGCTGATCTAAGATAATTTAAAAGTATTATCATCCTTTTCAAGTTCCCTAATTATATCTATGGAAATAAACTGTAGTTGATTTGTCCTCAAAGAAAAAGTGGAAAAAAAAACATCCAAATAAGAAATAGATGAAAACCACAATTTTTTTGTGGACACCGCAGCAAAATTATATCATCACCAACAAAACTTTTTCAAAGATCTGTCAGAATACATCTCAAAGATTATATACATCAATTTTCCTAGTTTTTGCTTCTTTTTTTCGTTAGCTTTGTATCATGTTTCTGTTGATATCACACAAAAACTTATAAATGGAGATTTGAAAAGGAATAGCTCTGTAGACATGGAAGTTTCTCATAACTAATTTAGCAAACAAATGTTGTTCTAAATTAATCATCATTCGTAAACACCTTCAACTAGTGCAAATGTTTCATACATAAGTAATATCAGGCAGAGCCTTACTGCTTCAGTAAACATAAAAATTACAGCTGCAAAAGATAGACAGCACAAACAATACTTTCAGAGATAATGCTTAACCATGTTTGAATTACAGAAATGAAAAAAGGAATGCAAGACATTATAACTCTGATGCAGAAAATTATTGTAGAAGAGTCCGAACAAGCAGTTTGTACACATCAGAACATCGATATGATAGGTCAGAATTTTATAACAAAATATTGTACAACAATTAGAAAAATCTCAATGAATTCACTTACATTCTATTTTCGGAAACATCAAACTGGCAGAATTCCTGCATTAAGCAAAAGCTTTAATGCATCTATCTGTATTTGAGTATTTCCCTACCATAGTCAATTAGATGAGCATTAAGGACCTCCAAATGTAGAGTATTATTTTTAAGCCAACAGAACTATCATTGGCGCATATTTGCAAAATAAAATAAGGGCTCAAAAAAAAGAAAAATTTTATGTACAAAATTATCAACTAGAAAAAACTAAAAGTCAGCTTCTCAACACAGCCGTATAGCCCAACCATTTAATGAAGAATTTCTACAGCAGAAAAGGCAAAATAGTTAAATCGGCCAGAAAACCGAGATTCCCAAAATCAAACCATCTTTCTCAGCACATCTTGTCGAGCTTATAAGTCCAATGAAAATAGCTAGCAGTGCCCATCTCAATCATAAATTCAGCAAAAACACAAGCGAGGGCATCCATGACTTTTCATGTGCTTTTCTATAGCCTGAATCTGATTACTGAAAATTCATTCATCACCAATTAGGTCCTTCTGAGATGTCTTTATTGCATCTGCCATCATAATAGCAACAACAGCCTTGTGAAGTGCAAGATCTGCTTTATGCATCAACCACTGTGCCTTTTCTCTCTTAAGCTTAGCCATATTGGATGCATGTTGAGCTGCACTCGATGCATCACGCAACCTGAACTCATTTATATCAGGCTGATGCCTCTGACCACCATCTGGCTGCAAATTCTTTGAGCATGGCCATTCTAATGCTTCAGGATGCAAACGAAGAACTCCATTCCTCTTTGACTTCTCACTGCATGATAATGGCATGACTGGAGAATCCCAAGGAGTATGATGCATCCCATTTTTCTTTGAAAAGGTTCTAAAAAGCTTTGGATAATGATTTCTATCCACACAATCACTAGCCATTAGAATTGCAGTCCTTGCATCCCTTGGGGAGAAACTCATGGGTGACTGAAGCCACTGAGTAGAATGACAGCCTTCATAACTAGGTATGGTAACGAAAGCCTTCTCATCCCCGAGTGAGGAAATATTTAATCTTCTCCCTACAATCATGAGCACAGAAAAATAAAATTGATTAGGAGAGTGCAGATGATGATGATGCAGAAAAACGATTGGCGGGGCAGTACTACCAGAAGCATTGAGCACATCCTGCTCTCTTGAAAATGAACTATGGTGACCAGCGTACATCAACTTTTTATGGGACCTCTGCTTTGAGCCTTTGTTAGCTTCCAGACCCCGTGGTTTTAAACAAAAAGCAAACATGGGAGGTTTCTCAGGAAGATTTTCAGGAGCGGCGGTCCTCTCTTGGAGCTCATTTGCTGGGTAATGCAACTTCATCATAGTCAACTCCCATTCTTTTAGTTGTTTTTGGTAGCATTCCCAAAGAGGAGGCTGAGCAAACATAAAAGGAAGCCATCAGCAACGGAGATCTTGTATGAGATAAAGAGAATAAAAAGACTAAAGCTTATAAAGTATAGCCCAACTCAACTACATTATGCCAGTAAAAAGTAAATAACATAGCACCAACAAAATAAATTAAAACAAAAAATGTAAGTATCAAACTGACAAAATAATTTCGAACCATAATTTTTTTCATTACTTTATCAAGATTTCTCATGCTGTAAATCCCAACAATTAGTTCTCAATTAATAAAAAGAACTCATTACATCCCTCTGCACAAATAAAGCTGCTGAAACCCAACTTAATAACAGATAACAAAACGATTGAGTCAAAAGAATCATGCCAAAGCATAGCAGAAACAGGAACAGTTCAAATTGGAAAATTGTATGGCCTTTTAACCATTTATTATTTGAAATTACAGTTCTTTGTTCAAAGACAAAAACAACACTTAGCATCTCAGCTAAGCTAAAAATTCATCATCAATGAAGCCATTATTCTAACTTGGCCACAGCCAAGCATCCAGGCACCACATTGCAATGCAGAGGAGCCCATTCACAGTTATTGATGGTTTTTGGAGGTTCAATTGCATTTCATGAATGAAGAATAAAATTGCTTAAGCCGAACCATTGGAGGAGGATACAGGTGAAATAGAGTATCTCTAAACTTGTAAGAGTGAGGGGAGAAACTTGTAAGTGAAGTATATGAGGATTTCTAGAGTGGGTTCAATCAAATTTAGTGGAATGGGAAGGAAGCCTGGTGAAGCCATTCTACGACTTCCCCAGCATACAATCCTGTCTAATGGTTGTTGAATGCACTAACAACATTACTTTAAGCAAATATTTTCACACACCTTGCACCCTAATGACCATAACCATGCCAATTCTCCTACTACATTCACATATAATATTTTTATTAAAAAAAAAGAAATCTATTCCATATATTTTATAAAGTGACAAATTATAGATTTTAAACAATGTCACTAAACGAGACAACCCCTTGATAAAAGAACCCAATGGAATGGATGTCTGATTTTTTTTCCAAGGAGAGCGTAGAGGTAAAATCACAACCTCAAAATCCAGAGCTGAGGTATGAGCCATCATGTTAATGTGTGCTTCATAAAGAATTGGGCGGTGGGTTATTTTCATATTTAATCAACACATACAGAAGAAAAATATTAGAATTAGGATTTCTAATGCAATTAAAATGATTTATATTAAAAATATATGAAAAAAAAATTGAAGATTCACAGAACAAAAGCCACTAATTATTTTAACCAAAAACATTTTTTTTAGGTTTAAACAAATGATACTCGAATTAAAACCCAACCAATATTTAAGTGAACATGATAATTCAAAAACTTGGCAAGGATTTAAAACAAAAAAAAAATCATCAAGTAAGAGTAATTTAATTTTAAAAAAATAATTTTGTATGTGCCAAATTTAAACAGAAGGGTGATAAAACAAGAACAAGGAATGAATAAGCCAAAATAAAAAATTCTAAGGCCAAATGCCTGTCTAAGGAGATGATTTTCCCTAAAATCAGTTATTCACACTTACATCACACTTTTTTAGAATTTAGGCTTTAATTTTGAAGGAATCCATATCTAATTGCACTCAAAAGATTAAAAAATATAAAAAATATTTAATTTATTTGAGGTTCTTCAATTATATGCCTCAAAATATCTATCTATAGTTTTTTCAAATCCCCATCTAATTTATATGGCCCGCATTCAGTCATATCAGTATAAATTTAAAGTTAATCCCAAAAAGACCATAAGCATTTTAACATTTAAATTAACATCCAAAATCTTTTCCTAAACAATCAAGCACTCCAACATTAAAACCCAATACGACACACAAGTTTTAAAATTACGTAATTAGGTAATAAGTCATTTTCTGTCTGTGAGATGAGGTATAAGCCACAAGGTGTTTCGAGGCGTAAGCCTCAAAAGATTACATGAGATAATAGATTTTGTATAAACTTCAAAGTGTGAAGTAAAAAATAACATATCAACATTCTAGCTAATTAACACATTATATAAATATATATATCAACATTCTAACAAAATAAAAAATATAATAAATTGCATAAATAAGAAGTAACACATTATTATTCTAAATGAAATCTGAAATAAGATGGTTATACAAACAATTAACATCAAAATAAGCTAAGATATCAAAGTAAAATACTAAAATAACATAACATAACAATCAAAATAAATTCAAAATATGTCATTTGCCAGTTTTAGACTTAACTAGATTCACACCTATCATAGATTAGATCCAAAATTACTAAAACTCTAAGTTATTTATTATAACCATGTCAATATCAAAAATAAGATATAATAAAGATTCTTTGATGCAACCAAGGTGAAAATTCTTTGGTCACTCAAGTCAACTGTTAATTTTATTAGTAAGGGTTCTATCATATAAGATTGTAATAATTGTCTGCATATTGTTTACACATTGTCAACTAAATAGTTGTTGAATGAAGATTCATGAAATCATGCTCAGCCTCATGGCCAATAAAGCCAAAACAAAGACCTTTCTTCTCTTTTTATATTTTTCAAGTAAGTTTCCAACCAAATAAAAAAAAAAACCTCAAGAATGTTGTGTTATCACAAAGTTGAAGGACATCAAGATGCTACTAAACCAATCATTCTCTCAACTTCACTATGTAAAAAATAAAGTTAACTCTCATATATGGCTCAAAGTTTAACACTGAAAATAATTATTCTTCAATCATTTAAAATGCAATTACCCTCCCCTTCTTGCCTTCTAAAGAGCCAGAAACTTTAAGCATGGAGGCATCATTAGAAATGGTTTGTATGGATGAATGTGGCTATTCATATTGCTTCCTCAATTTGAAATGTTTTATTTGAGATGTACACATTAATATGGCCAATGATGATTATGGTTAGGCGGCCAACAACTCTTTTAAATTGTTGAATACCCAGATAATTCTACTAAAACAAAATCTTCCACAGTTGGAATACACTAGAACCCCCTCCATATCGTTAACGCCTTCCATAAGTCAAGGCTTGCAAAGGAGGTGGTCTCCATACACCCTGCCCTGACCCTGAAACTTCCTCAAAGAACATCCTTTTCCACATTTGGGTCAGTCGACCATCCCTTCTCCATTCCATTTCTACATTTTCCAGAGCCATTAGTTTCTCTCTTTCAAACACTGTCCTGTTTCCAGTTTTGGGAAATTGGCTTCTTTCCTACTCTTTTTTCCTCTTCAATGCATTTCAACTAGAATACTTCAACATGTTTCGAGTGGGGATAAAGGGCTTAAACTTCAGTTAAGGAGTTTTGCTTACTCAAGCAGAGCTGAAGATTTAGCGCTCCCTCTGCTACTCTTTCTCTGGTTATCACGTCTTGCAAGAGAGGGAACAGATGAGATTCAAAACAGAAAAAGACTTGCCAACTGAAATATGCAAACTCAGTAAGAACTTTAATGCATTGAAATGTCTTTTGCTTCCCCCTTTCCTTATACAACACAACACCCTGTATGAAGCAGGTGAGGAGCTTTCAAATATCAGAAAAGCAAGATTAAAAGCAAGCAAGTATTGGATAAGTAGGAGAAAAGCAAGAAAAAGACAGTTCGAACCAGTTATTACTTTTGGACTAGGACCAAAACCAACTGCTGCTCACATAAAAATTAACACTGAAAGCTTTGCAGAACCATCCTAGAAAAAAGCATATACATAATAACAATGAACATCACCCCCCC